AGTGCAGAGTTTAGGAGTGTCGTTTTATTTGTACAAACAGATTCAGAACAACTAGAGCTCTGGGTAATATAATAAACTGCTCACAAAAGACTGGAGGGGGATGGAATTCTGTGCACACAGCTGTGAAAATCTGGGGGAAGCTTCCAAGATGATTGTTAAGATTTTTTTCCCCTCACTTTCTTTGTACCTATTGCAATATAAAGTTTTTGTGGGCAGATGTGTGCGTGCCTACAGAAGAGTGTGCATGAATAAAAAATTGGGGTTTAATGGACAAAAAATGGAACCATGTTATGGACATTGTTTTTATATTTGATGACAGTGGTGAGACTTTTATATGAATAAAGATGGAAGGACTTACAAATATCTACAATGGAAGAATAGATGGTGAAGCTGAGTGGCATATTAAGAAGAAATTATTATCCAAAGCTGCAGCTTTCCATACTGAATGAATTTCTACCTATCATAGCCCATCTGAATATGCATCCACTCAGTATTCCACCAGTCCTTGCTCGGGCCTGCCACACTAGCCAGCTCTCACCGGGCGTCGTATCCCACACCAGAGCCAGTGTTAGTGCAGGGATAGCCAGAATATGTGGATTCCCATGTTTGCCATGGACATCTGCAATATTTACTGGAAGGGCTATGGCCCTGAAGACATGTCATGGGAAGATGCTGATGCTGTGCACGCTCCTTGGGTGATCTGTCAGTTCCACCGCCAATTTCCATGGAAACCTGGCCCACGGGACTCTGGGAGGACAGGCCATGCCAGGAGGGATAGTGTGATGACTCCTCTGGATGCTTCCCCAGATACTTCTCTAGATGTCACCTCCAGAGGAGTTGGTCAATGGCTCCAAGCAGCCATCTGAGAAGGATTTGGCTGAAACACAACTGTAGCAGGACAGCCTTGAGGCTTCAAGTGGAGAAATCATGCAGCTGTAGCTGGTGAGGGAAGAGGAAGAGGAAGAGGAACTGCCTTCTGCACCTGATCAAAGAACATGTAGGGTAGAGAAAAGGCAGGAGCAGAGAAGGTCAGCTAGATTACTCATGAGAGGAAAGCCTCACCCTTCTCAATGGGCTGCACAGGAAGCTGGCTGTGCAGACAAATGGAAATGATGCTGGGAACAATGTGTTCATTTCCTAGCTGTGTGTTTTCTGGTCATTGTGATTCTTGCCTTGCTTTAGATTAACACCATGCCTTGACTTGGATTGTGCCTTGTGAATTCTAGACTGTTAGCTCCATCATCATAAGTTCCACAAACTGAGTTCTTCCCATAATTATTTACAATATTGAGCAATAAGAAAGAAAATCAATGGCTCAGGCATGAAATATACACATATATACCTGTCCAAAGACCTGTTTTTTCCCCAAGGCACTGACTTCAGAGGATTAATTAGACCAGGTATGCACCTAAAGTCATTAGGTTGAAATATCAGCCTGGGAGGGAGGGATCACTATCTGTTGCATTTATTCCATTCCTTAAACTCTTGTGAAGTGAAGTTTAACAAACAAACAATTAGAATACATCACAAAACAATGGGTTGAAAAGGTAGGAGCTAGGCAGCATAATGAGCAGATATGAAAATCATATTCCAGCCCTAGGTAGCTCAATATTTTTTTTATTCAATTCCTGTGAACGAACAGTCAGAGAAATAATAGATTTCACATTAAGAGAATATATACTTAAGGTGAGATTTTATATCTATGGAGAGGCCAAAACATTGGGGTCTCAACCAGCTCCTCCCCCAGAGCTGCATAAGAAGCAGTGGGCTGGAAAGGTACTACCAGTAGCTGGTTACATTTTGAGTAATGAGCAAGTATTGTAATAGGCCTCTGCAAAATGTCAAGAGGGCTGGTCTCTTTCCCAACTGCTTTGCTTGGAGGCCAGGGGCATCTGCTGATGAACAATAGGTTGCTGAAAGGGCAAAGAAACAGGCAAAATGAAGTAGCACAGCTCCTCTGAGCTTTTCACACTAGGTTTTTTTTTTTTTTTTGAAGTTCTGCTCCAATTTGGTGATTCAGTTCAACACCCCTATAAAATGATACTGATTACCAAGATGAGAGCATCCCATCTCCAGAAGTATCAAACCTGTAATTTTACCACCACAGCACTTATTTCACTTAAGGGCTTTCCAAGTCAAAGCCCCTAGATTTAACCACAAGGCTTAAATGGATGGAGCGACAAAGAGAAACCTGGCTGCATGAGAGACTGTCAGTCACTAATAAATTTCCTTTCTCCTATATTTTCTTCAAAAAGAGCCAAACGGGACAGGAAAGCCAGGGAGAGATTTTGCTGCAGGAAAATGAATCAGATCATAGGACGCGTGGGTGTGTGCTTGCACAATCAGGTAGGGTGAAGAAAGAGGGTGGGGGGGGAAGGATAAATTCCAGCACTGAACTTTGCATTCCAAACGTTAATTTGCAACCAGGCACTGGAAGATTTGAATGGTTTATGTGCTTGTTAATTCTAAGACTCAGCACTGAAAATAAAAACCATTATGTTCAGCTCAGGGAAGAGGCCCTTTGGCTGGGCACATTTACTGCTAACGAAGGAATGTGATGCATGGTCTAAGCAGCATTTAAAAAATTTAGTGTGTTGGATACAGAGAGTCAAGTATTGCCCACATGCCACAAATCCAGTGGTGGGATTCAGCCAGTTCGCACCACTTCGGCAAAACCGGTAGTTAATTTTTTGTTGCCCAGGCCTAGAATGGACTTCCGGAAGAACAGAGAGAACCGGTTGTTTACATATTTGAATCCCACCACTGCACAAATGATGATGGGATTAGGCCAGGGGTAGGCAACCTTGGCTCTTTTATGACTCGTGGATGTCAACTCCCAGAATTCCTGAGCCAGCCATGCTGAGGGGAAAGGGAGATGTTTCCAAGCTGAGCCATGCTGGCTCAGGAATTCTGGGAGTTGAAGTCCACGAGTCATAAAAGAGCCAAGGTGGCCTATCCCTACATTAGGCCATCAATACAACCCAGGAGAAAGTTCGTCCTGTCTTTAGGGAAGTACGTATATGCAGCATTTCATTATGCTGCCAGGCATGTCAGAGAGGCAGCAGGGAAAGGCATGACACAACTTCACCAAAGCCTTACAATTTGCTTTAGTAATGTCTGGCCCATGCTGCGAGGAAATCGCTTTCCATGGGCTCCCAGTGATCTGAAAAATCACACCATTGAAAGACTTGGTAGGATAATTGTCTGCTTCCCCTGTAAAAGCAAATGTACTGCAGGATACGTAGCTTTAAAGGTAAAGGTTTCCCTGGTCCAGTTGTGTCCAACTCTAGGGGCAGAGTTCATCTCCATTTCTTAGCCAAAGGAGCAACAAAATTTCATTTTTAAGGTGTGCCAATGTGCACACAGTAAAAAAAAAAATCACAATAAAGGTTATCTATCTACCAAAGCATCAAAACCTGGTTTAAATCTGTCCTAACAAGATCTCACTTCCATTTTTTTTTACCAGCAATATAGTATTTCTTCATGGATGTCCATAAAATGCTTCCCACCCTTTCAGGGGTACTGAATCTGGTGTCAAGATAAAGTAGGGCAAGACTGGATAAGTCCTTCAGAAGCTTTTCAGTTATTCTGCACAATAAGAAATAGTACCTTTGAATAGAATTTGAAAAGACTCTGTATCTTTATTAGATAAATATGCATAACTTTGATAAGCTTATTTCTAAGCATATTGTTATAATACAATATCACTTAGATCCCGGTCACTTTTACTGTTGCTTTGAATAGTCATAGAGCTGAATAGTAGTTCCCCAAGAGATTTAAGTGGCAAAAAAAGAAGAAAAGCAACACCATCGGTTTGAATGACAGAATTATTTTTTCCCCTCTCTCAAATGATGTACAGATGATATATAGAAGAGGCAGAAAGAGGAGAAGAGGACAAGGGATGTGTCAGAAGCGGTTCAAGACAAATGCACAGCATGAACCAAATTGAGTGAGAAGAGCCTCCAGGGAATATCATAAGTACTTAGTAATGTGGTTGGTGCTTGTACACCGTACTCTGAAAAAAAAAACAGCTTTACTACGCAAGCACAATCACTGTTTATGTATACAACAGAGGGCAGGTTTAAGTATTCTCACTGGAGAATTTTGACCACATTGGAGCTATGTTACTACAGAATGCAAGCAATGAAAATCCTGTGATTGATTGATTGTACTAATGCCTAACAGAATGTCTTACACAGAACCCAAAGGAGGATAAGTGACAGCATTTAGATCTTCTCTTTCAGAGATGTTACAAAGAAATCAGTTGATCCAGTTCTTAAGCAATCTCAGGCAAACAGAGATTCAAACTGTTTCTCAAGTTAGAGAAAGTAATTCTGTCAGATCACTCAAGTTTATGCTTTTGAACACCAGTTCTGCCTTCAATAAATCTAGTCCCATAATGAATTAATTGTGGGTGAGAGAGCAGAACAAAGAAGAGGAGCCCTCTTCATGGTGCATGGTACTTTGGGTCTTGTTCAGTAATTTGGATGGTGGTTCTTTTGAATATCCTTCACTATCTACCTAACTGGAGAAGAGGTTGGGATGAGGATTAGTTGGATCTGGGCTGTACTTGAGAAAAAAAGAGGTTCTAACATCTCTGAAATAGGCATAAAACCAGCCACTTCTCAAGATGTCAAGCTTGCATGTGTTGGAAATGAACTACTTCCATCCTATGTTTAACTGTCTTGGGGAAGGTTGTAAAGGAACAACAAAAGGTTCTTGACAAATTGTCCAGTTTTGCCAGGATTCAAACATGGATACAGGAAAGATAACACTTTAGTCATTCTTGTGGATGACCTGTGAAGAGACATGGATGGAGTAAGACCATCCTTGTATTATCAATTGGACGTACCCTTTTAGGATGTTTGTGCTCCTCCTTAAAAAGGCAGATTCAGACAGTGATGGGGGAGGGGGAGAGAAGAGGTTGAACACTTGGATCCTTTGTTGTAGATGGAGGCTAGATCCTTTTCCCAGTTCTGTGAAGTTAATGGAAGTAACTCAATAGTTTGTTTGTTTTTTATTTTATTTTATTTCTTGTGCAGGGGCCATGCTAATCTTCTCTGTATCGTTCCAATTTTAGTATATGTGCTGCCGAAGCGAGCACTCAATAGTTTGTTGATGATGCTCAATTGGATATCTCTATAAGAACTCTAATGGGCTATGCATATTTCCTGTGACTGAAGTTTGTCAGGGTCTTGTTGAGCATAAATAAATTCAGATCTGACCTGATTCAACCCTTATTCTAAGAGGGAGTTATTTTTTTAAAAAAACTACACTATTTTATCAACAGAATAGTACTCTTACTTCTCAAAGGAATGAGAAGCAACTGAAATTAGCTCTTTGCATCGGTTTTGAACACCACTGTAGAATGACCTGTTTATCTATTTGAATTTGCATGCTTTCATACTGCTAGGCGGGCTGGACCTGGAGCAAGTATGACAGCTCACCCCATTGACAGCTCAGCATCTTTAACCACTGAGCCATCGTGTCCCCCATACTATGTATTAACACTTTTATTATTCTTTGAGTCTTATATTTACAAGGAAACCTGGATCAGGATTGTTGACGTCTTATTTCTACTTAATCTGGGGTGATGGAGTGACTATCTGACACACATTCATTTTTTTCCTTCTTTTTTCTTTTCTTTATCTTCCCCCTTTCCCAATGAATCTTCAATGGAGCCAACTTAATAATAAACCCACTGAGTTTGGGAATATTATTTCTGAATAAACAAATAATACGGATGACGTTGCGTCAAAGAAGGGGAGTTTTATTTCCCTTGCCTTTCTTTCTTGTTTCCTGTATGAGGGAGATGCTATTATCCCTGTCTCTACCACCAGTGTAAATAAGACTTAACTGTCAATATATGGCAGAGGCCACTTGACTCTAGAGTATTCCCCATGTGACCAAGAAGTGATGACTGGTATATCTTCATTATAATATATGTTTCTGAAAATCCACAAAGTACCCTTCTGGGAATTTGCTTCCTAGCAGTTCTATGTGAATCTTTGACTAGCTTAGAAAAGCAAAGCTCACTGGTGCTTATAGCCATTTTCCACTCGCTTGCCTTCCTGTTTAAAGACAAATCGTAAAAGATAAAAAAATGCCTACACTATCAATTTGAAACTGGGATCCTTGAAGATGACTTGTCAGATTCATAAAGCATAGCTGTAACGATGGCTGTATTTGTAGGAAGGCAATCTTACGACTGCTGAAAAGATTTGATGTCGTATCAGCATATCTTCCACTACACACGAGACAGGAAGGGATCAGTTTCTGATTCAGTTGTACACTGGATATTGCAGTTTATAATATATTTCGGAATTGCTCAGGTGGAAAATTTGAAGGGACAACAACAGGACAACTAAATCTGAGCTATAAAAATCTGGGGAATGTTACTGTAGAGAGAAGCAAAATAAAGCTTCCTTTGCTGACATCTAAAGGTTGTCTGTGTCTTATGATCCTGTGTCTGTTGATGTGATTATTGAGCAATAATGTGCATGCGTGCACATGTGTGTGTTTGTGTCTGAATGAATATGCTTATGTTTAAATAGCGATTGGTAATCAGTAATATACTAATGCCACCTATGAGTGGTAAGACAGTATTCCTGGCACCAGACAGATTTGTTGAGACCACAGCTTCTAACGTTCATAGGAAGTGGTCATGTGGAAATATTGGTAGATACTGTATGATCTCAATATATTTGAAGAGTAACATCAAATTACAATATCAAATAAGCCCTCATAAACAAAAGTCCTCTTTTATCCAGCGTTCTGTTTTCTAAGTTGATGAATCGGGTGGCTCTTGAAATCCAGTATCAACTTGAATTTATTACAATCAAAGATCTACTTTAAAAAAGAATGAAATCTTCCATCCAAAACATTATTTTTAGATGATGGAAGGAAATTTGAAAACTCTGTTGGTGTCATTGGTCAAAAGGCTCCTTTCATACAATACATTCCATGCATTTGTAATTCTGTCAATGAACTCTAGAGAGATATCTTGTTCTTGAAAGCTCAACTTTAAGGATGCATATTCAGAGACTTCCTGCCTGCTTTAGCACTGGGAGAGAATCTACTACTAGTTTCCGCAATTGAGATAAATTGTTTATAGAAACAGTCAAAACTGCTTAGTATTTGCTTGGGTTCAATTGGAAGTTCAAAAAAGCTGTGCTACTGCTACTAAAAATGACATATTTATTTATGTGACTAATGTATATGCTTTCTATTCCCAAAGGCCATGGATGGCTCATTAAAAATAAAGAACTGCTACTTCTGAAGTGAGAAACATTTAGAAAAATAATCCTCCCTTTAGCGAAATTCAGAATGACAGCTGTAAAATTTTTCTGCTAACCAAATAATTTAACAAAGTCATTTGTTTACTATTTATAAGCACAACTTAAGTCCACATGATGAGCTACTGGTTTGCATAATGTATGTAGTAATCAAGGGACAAGAAAATCCTTATACCAAGTATTTATATTAAAGTATTTTATTATTTGCAATGCCTAATTTACAAGCAGGCAACAGCAGGCAAAATGAATTGATTAAGAAGAGCAGCTTCAGTCTCTGGAATGACCTGTTATCCAGACTATTAAAACTTGGTCATTCCTTCCATATCTGCCTATGCAAGTAAATCCATTTTAATTCTTCTTATTATCACACTTACTTGAATTATTACAATTCATGCTGTGTCATCTTCTATTGTGTCTTTAAAAAACTTGATGTATGAATTAGGCATAGCTAAATAATGGGAAAAAATTATTAAGCCTAGCTCAGGGTAGGATAAAGTTGTAGAGGTGTGTTAAAGCATTAGAAGACAGCTTGTAGAACTGCATTATTAGTGTCCTCTCTACCAAGAATCTACACTCTACACACTCCATCTTTGCACAGCACGTAGAGGAAGAGTGACAACAAGGACTGGGTGTATATTCATATATCATGGCTGGCTGGCCCACTATTATTCTGCCTGAATGTCTTTTAGGAACTGTTTTATAGCCTTCCAGATACACTCAAATCTTGCCAATCATAGCATAGAACACAAGCTTCTGAAAGTTCATACAGGTATCTATCAACTTGTCCTCAGCAATGGACAAGTTGTTTCTCTGAAAGACACCGATACACCCTTGCCATTTATCTTTCCCACTGCAGAGAGCTAGAGAATTTGGGAGATCCTCTCAATGCATTTGTGGTCATCTAAAAGTCAATAGGTCCAGAATTAAAGTTACTTGAAGATATTCTGCCACCTCTCAAATTAAAAGTCCGAACTGGACCACAGTTATCTTTCAAATTACCGCCAGATTTTACAGTGCAGTTCCTGACTTAAAGTACTCAGTCAGTGTTTAAAATATATATTTTAAGACAAGGTATATTAAAATCCACTATTTAATAATAAATTTTTATTTTGTAGAAAATAAAAAAAGTCCCATTTAAGTCTGGTCTTAACAAGATGCCATTTTTTTTTAAAAAAATGCATATGATGCATAGAAGAGGATGGCCATTGAAAACTGACATAGACAGAAATAGACTGTTCTGTCACCCTTAACCCAGCATTATTTAGGATATGACATAAAGTATACTTCATTATGACATAATCGGCCTCTGCCACCCTGGATTTAATGTTTCAGAATGAATATTGTGCTAATTTATTTGAAATAAATTCATTAGGGCTAAGCCAGTTTAAATGTGTATATTCTCACAGTTCAGGAGATATTGTGCCAACTCAGAAAACTATTGACCTTAAACCCATGGAATCCTAATTAAAGTGGCACCATAGCAGCTAGAAAGTGCATTACTAGAAGTGAAATGAATCAATACCAACTTATAAGAGACCGGACATGTAATTATCAGTATATATAAATGCTAACCTTTTCCTTCTTTTCCCAACTAAGAAAATAATTCTCTCTCACTTTGTGTGTGTTTGTGTCTGTCTGTCTGTCTGTCTGTCTGTCTGTCTGTCTATCTATCTATCACATTTCTAAACTACCCATCTCCCTCAAAGAGGCAAACATATATTATACTGTGCATATCTAGAAAGCAACATGCATATACATAGATAATAGCAATAGCTCTTAGACTTGTATACCGCTTCACAGTGCTTCGCAGCCCTCTCTAAGTGGTTTACAGAGTCAGCATATTGCCTCCAATAATCTGGGTCCTCATTTTACTGACCTCAGAAGGATGGAAGGCTGAGTCAACCTTGAGCCAGTGAGGATCGAATTTGTGGAAAGGAAGGAAACCTATTTTTTCATTCTCATTCCTTTTTATCTAAGAACCTATCCTAAAGCAAACCAAAGAAGAATTTATTTCAGTTGTATGTCTGCAAATGAAAAATCCATTTTTCAGAGGCAAGCTGTGGGCTTCCAAAACAATAGAGCTGATAAATATATTGAGACAACATATATCCAGAATGAAAGAGAATGAAGAAGCCTTACTTACTTACAATTTGATGTGTGCATCATGCCTCAGATCCACACGAGATCTGTTATGTTTTATGCAATGGTAGCATAAGCAAGGAATATGGTATTTTACAATGAGAACACTTGGTTGAACACAGACTTGTCTTCAAGATTTATTCTCTCTTTCTCTCTTTAGTATTAATGTGAATTTTTAGAGGCATTTTTTTTTAACAGAGAAAATCTCTAGTTTAGTTTCTACTGTCTTTAGCTAGAAATGAAAACTATATTCACATGAATTCCACCAAACTATATTCACATGAATTGAGTGTAATAAATAGATAAATGAACATTCTGAGTCGGTATGAAATAGCTTTATATGTAACAACAGGCCTGCAGGATTATCCCTTTAATCTAGCCTTCATCAGCCTGGGCACTTCCAGTTTTAATTCCAGAATGTTCTATCCAGCACTGATAATAATCCTGGAAGAGGTAAACTATTCACTTTTTCAGGGTATATCTAGGCTAGGAAAAAAGTTCCTCTAATACAGCACTTATTCTCAGTTAGATGCTTATGGATCTTTGAGAAATGCTATCAATCAAAAGAGAAAAGCCTAAATTATGGGGAATAAAGATTTATAGAAAACAATTTTAGCTACTGCTATGATAAACTAAGTCACTGAACTGCAAAGATGCAAGCAAGACTATT